TCTTGGGTTTCTTCGGTTCCTCCAGCCATCCTGACGGAAGCGATCTTGGGTTTCTTCGGTTCCTCCAAAAATCCTGACCGAAGCGTTCTTGGGTTTCTTCGGTTCCTCCAGCCATCCTGACTGAAGCGTTCCTGAGTTTCTTCGATTACACCAGCCATCCTGACCGAAGCGTTCTTGGGTTTCTTCGGTTCCTCCAGCCATCCTGACCGATGCGTTCCTGAGTTTCTTCGGTTCCTCCAGCCATCCTGACCGAAGCGTTCTTGGGTTTCTTCGGTTCCTCCAGCCATCCTGACCGAAGCGTTCTTGAGTTTCTTCGGTTCCTAACGGGGCTTGGAAGTGGCGAACAGCAGCAAACAGTTTCGTCACCCAAACAAACTGAAGACTTTGGTCATTAGAGCGGTGAGATACCGGGAGGACCTTAACAGTGAAGGTTCTCCAGTTTCTGTGTCACGTCGTTACTTTCAGGCGAATATCCCGCGATTGAACTCAGTCGCAGTCAAAGTTACCGTACGAGTGGCGGTTTACGGCCAATCAGTTTGTCTTGGTGTCAGGCCCTTGAGACCCACGAGCAGAGATTGTTTTCCCAACTGAACTATTGCGGTAATAGTCCTTATGGAACATCCTCTCTGATGACAAATTGTTTTTTTCTTTCCTATGAATATGCTTGGCCTTTCGCCAAGTGTAGGCATCGCACATACACCATGTTATTGAAAATTCTTTTTTTTTTTGCACTTTATACAAGCCCTCTGTCAGTACAGGCTTTGGAAAGAAGATGATTCCTATCTTCCGTTACAACGGCAGTTTAGTCACTTGAACGGTCGTAGGTTTGACCACCGCTAAGTTTAAACCTCTTATATTTTCTGTGTCTGGCTTCGCTTTGTCTTGTACTTGAACATGTTAATTCTTATGATTTTGTGTGACTTCTGCTTGTTGCCTGCACAATTTTGTTATGTAATCGTATACACACGGAAGGTTGAAAACTATGCAAATCGCCGACCAGTGTTCACCTTGGAAAATTTCCAATGGTGCGCTTCAATTTTAAGAGGTAGGTGTCTGCCGCTAATTCCAGTCGGGACAAGCCAAGTCATTGCTGATCTGATCAGTGACTTATTGAGGGCTAGTTTAATGTTGGTCCTTAAACGCTCACTTTTCAATAGGGAGTAGTTTCTAATAAATGTTCTGAAGGCTTGGCTTCAGTCATTTCTATGTGAAGTCTCCATGTAATCTTCTTATCGAAGATTACACTGAGATATTTTACATGATTGAAGAAGAGGATATTCATCCCATTCAGTGTAAGATGAACCTCAGGGGGGGAACAACAACCCATGTCTGATTCGGAGTCTAATGTTAGGACCGACGGTCAGTCGGCCAGTCTGTCTTGGAATAAAGCACCCATCTGCGGCTTAAAACCAGATTTTTGTTAATGTCAGACAGTTGTGGGCTTGTTGATGTGAGGCGCTGTCTCTGACGAGAGGACGGGTCTGTCGTTTATAATTCCTGCTGGTCCTCGCCAGTTCAGTCATTATCGGATCCGAGTCCCGTGGGACTATCGACCATATTTTACTGTCTCAGATTCGATACTTCCATTTTCGTCGCCTCCTACGATTCTCAAGTCTACTGCTGAGGTATTCGACCCTGCCTCCACGCGGGATAAACGTGCACAGACCTGAAACTAAGATAGGAGGGTTAAAATTTTATGCGACAAATGAAATCTATGAAAACCAAAGAATAGGATTAAATGGAGAAATTTGGGGAATATTTTGAGCCTACCGCTAACGCAATCTATGGAGTAAAACCTGAACACTCGAGACTGAAACCTTACGGAAGCCCATGAAGAATGAGTCACTTCATACTGTGCGTTGGTAACCTCATTGCTGGTGAGGTGTATTCAGATGGGAGAAATGTCCAACAATTTTTATTACATATAATCCTGTTACCTCCCTTCGACAGAGCCTGGTCCCAGGTATTTGCATAACTGTAGTTACGCTGACATGCGTTGTCCAGTGATCGAGGTTAGCTCTTTCTAACGGACTCAACACGGGAGGTGTCTTCCCCCTCATATGAGGACGGAAACAGATCCAGTGTCCAGTTTGAAATGCGGTTGCAACTCAACTATCCTTGCTTAGTAGTGTATGCTAAGGTAAGGCTAGGCTGTCTCTGTACCAGACCGTGGAGGCCCATGCACTTGTGACACGTCGAAGCTCCCTCATTTTCTAGACAACCGGCTCACAGATGGCGGTGAGGTTGTCAGCCTTACGCTCCGGCCGCCCTTTACCCCCCAGGAAGATTCATGGTACTCATTTCTGTTAGAGGGTGAGTCGACACCAGGGCCATAGTGCGACTGGAAGGATTAGGTAAATTGGAAAAAATCCAATGAACCCGCGACCTTCCTCCTTGTAACATAGTGCCTCTTCTGACACCGTCTGCTAACTAGGGCCTAAGTCCATGGAGCAAGTCTTGAGAAGCTAATAGTCGCTCAGCTGGCCAAGACATTCAATTTCCTTTACGGAGCCTGTAATCACTTCACGTGTTCACATGACCCTATTCTGAGCCGGTTGAATCGAGTTAAAACCCTGAAATTAAAATAGAGGCGTAAACCACAGATACATTGCATTCCGACTGTGAAGCGGGAGGAGCAGTTAGCTGCTCGTTAGGCTATGCTGCAGTGTCCTGTGTCTTACAGAGGCACCCGATTGTGTCAGTCCTCGTTTTATCAACTCGGTCACGGCGCGAGTGTCCCCTGTTTTACGCAGCTGTAGTAACACTGTGACCTACTTTGCGTTTTTCAGGGTAGAAAGTATGTCCCCCCTCACCCCACGTTCTGCTAGTGACTCTGTATGAACGCTATGCCACTGTGGTGTGGGGGGCACCACAGCGTCATTCGTTGTACTCTTAAACGCGTGAAGTACGTATATACACGGCGAACCCTCGCTAATGGTGTCGCAGTTAAAAAAAAATGAAATCCGTGATTTTAGTTCGCTAGCGAACTGTACCGACCGAGCGACCGCCGCATGTCGGCGAAGTTAGTGCCAACTTTTGCGGATAGAGGGTGTCGCGTGGTCAGCGCAACGAATCCCTACGACCGTTAATTTCGGTTTTCTAGACCGGAGCCGTTATATCCTTGAAATAGCTCCTCAATTATCATCACGAGGCTGAGTGAAACCCGTTCCAGACCCACTACTTCTGAGAAAAAAATATGGTAACGCAATCGAACCCGGACCTCTTGATCTGTAGCCAGGAACCGTGTCACAGGAATTGAAATATGAAAAATTAAAAAAAAATGCTGTTCACAGTTGAGTACATATTGTAAAAGACATACGTGTACATGTCATTTAGGAAGGCAGATGAGCCGCTTGTCTGTTCAGACAAAACTCGAGACAGTTTCTTCAGACTGCAAATTCTGAGTCTTCTATCGATGAATAAATGCATTGTATTTTTATAGTTATTAAGTAAAGGCTCGACACATATTTTTTATTCTCATCAACACTATTTATATAATCAAATTTTCCTTTTATTTGTGCCCCAAGTTTCTTTTTATCTCTTAGGGGTACCTTTTGCTTCACTAATCCGGATTATCTGGATCCGTATTAATCCGCATTGGCGAGGGTTTACTGGACTGACAAGGGAGGAAGAAGCCGGCCTGCCAACTACACCGTCAAGCAGACTGTCCAGGCGCCACACGCACGCACAGGGTTGCCTTCCAAGTTTGAGGTGGACCCTACCTTGACGTTACGGCGGTTGCGTGCCAATTCCATATGCAGTAAACCCAGTTATATCGTATGATCTGAATAGCACCATCTGCTGAGATACGCGTCTGACGCCATGAAGTCCCAGAAGATTGTACTATTCATGGTTACCGCTGTGAGAACCTCCAGTCCAACATCACGTGATATGTTTATGCAAACTCGGTATCAGTTAAGGACCTAAGTAGGATATTTAGGAATTTTTGTCCCTGAAAAGAACACGCTGAAAAGTAAAAGAAAATAAGCTACGACCACTACCTATCTCCTAGTTAAAGTAATAATTAAGGTTATATATAGGCCGCGCCATAGCTCAAGCGGTTAGTCGCTGGCTTCCCACCGCGGCGGCCCGGGTTCGATCCCGGGTCTGGTCAAGTGGGATTTATGGTGGACAAAGTAGCGCTGGTGCGGGTTATCTCTGAGTACTTCGGTTTCCCCTGCCAATCTTAATTCCACCAAATTCTCCATCATCATCATCATCACCCGGAGCAGGTACAATAGGCCAATCAGTGGCCGCCGTGCCGAGTGGACCGAGCTGGACTCCACCCCCCAGACCTTGGCAGCTTTTTCAGTATCTCAAATTCTTTTTGTGTTGACAAGTTCTGGGATCCCCACCTAGAAACCAAGGCCGCTGTCTGTGTCTGTCTACATGTATGTCCCTCGCTAACGCCTGAACGGTTGAACTATTTCATTCGCACTTAGCAATGAAGAGCTAATCCGTCGTACGTCGTTGCTTGGTGAATATGAATATTCTAACTTAAACAGGAAGTTCTGGGAAGAACTAATCATGACACAGACCGTTGCAGCGGGAATGTGTTTAGGGATACTTTTACCGAGTCTGGCAGGCAGCGATAGGGGGGGACACATACAGACACAGACCGACGGGAGGGATTTATGAAGTACGCAGCTGAGTTCGGTTGATGTGCCGTGATATACATACCAAGTTTCATTGGTTTCAAAAGTTATTGGCGGGGGGGGGGGATACAGACAGCATGGAGATCGCATAAGCCTACTTTAGGAAGGTAGGCTAAAAACAAGGGCCCCTCAAACGGGACCCAGTAACAAATCCGCAATTTTCTCGAAACCGGTTCCAACTATTTTGAACCCCATTTCACATACATACGACTTTTTGAGGTGCGCGCGTAAATGGGTTTAGCTGTAGGAAGAGGCGGGCTACTCTCTCCGCGTGCGCAGGGCAGGCAACGCGGCGGTGCAATGAGCGGCAGTTCGCGCGAGGGGGTCAGAGGGCGCTACGATTACACAGTAACGAACAGTCGCCAATGCAGTGATGTAGGCAGTGGTATATATGAGCCTGCACCTGGCAACGCATCGCATAGATCGATCACAGAGGTGAGCGTTAGTACCGTCGTGTCGCTGTCCACTCACAGTTGAATGTACCTCACAGTGAGAACGTGATCATTTCGCGTCTTTAAGTAAAGCAGCCTCGTGTCCTGATTATGGAAGTGATGGGTAGTTCTGTGGACGACGTGCCTCTCACTTGTGTTTCAATAAAAAGGCGAGATGAAAGGAAAACATTAAGTTATTTGCCAAACCGGCCGCCAGTTGATATCGAGTTTACAGATCTGTCGTACACAGTGCCACAAGGCAGGAAAGGTAAGCTACATAGTTCTGATTTTGCCTGCTTATCCCATACCCAGTGTAGTAGGGCCACAACTGAAGATATGATGACTAAAATTATAAATCGTGTAGTTGCACTCGTAGACTACGGAGTGCGTAAAGTTTTGCCCAGAGATCAAGGGCACGTGATGTTCCAGTTTCACTTTTCGACGAGGGAGTATATCGAATTTTACCGAGGGTAGCCCAAGTGAAGTTACACGTTCAGACCGAGGTGACATGCGCGCAGCCAGGGGTTTTTTTTTTTTCGAGGAAAGGGGAAGCCAGTTTTCAAGGGGGGCGGGGGGGGAGTGCAAAATGACGGAGTTGCCCTTCGTCCGGCGCCAGCGCCAGGGTTATGTGGAGGTTGAGGCTCAGACTAATGGCGGCCGCACACCAACTGCGTCAAGACATGAGACAAAAAACGCAGTCTTGTTTCATTCGTGATTCTTCAGCATCATGACTCAGACCGATCTGCGGCGGTTTTCATAAGCTCATTTGTTTCAACTGTGCTCCTTTCTTTGCGCCATGTCGCAGACATCGTGTCTTGACGCATGCCGGTGTGTGGCCTACCTAAGGGGTAGGTGCAGTTTGACTCTTTGAGATCTAGGGATGCATTGACTGAAGCAGGTTCATAAGCGCTATCTTAACTTAGGCTTCTTCGTGGTTTTCGTCAGTCCCTACAGGTTAATTCCGGTATGGTACCCAAAACTGAGACTGGGCCCGTTTTTCTTTCCAAACCGTTACTCATCCCTTCGTTGGACGCTAAAGTTACTGAACGGTACTCAATTTTACATTTGTACTTGAAGTTTCAGAAAAATGACGGTGTCCTCCCCCAAAATTTTCTTACAGCTGTGGATTTTGAACCTGTACCTTGCATTCAGTAATAGTAACTAGACTATGGACTGTACGACAGGGGTTCAGTCTTGAGCAGGGCCCAGAGACTTTCCGTCCATGCGTACCGTCCACCTTTGCGCCCACCCTGCTTCTTGTGCAGTGGGTCACGGCTTTTGCTCACCGGGGTAAAGAGGCTTTGGCGTGGATCTGACCATTCTCGTCCTTTTAATGCAGAGGTTAAAAATGCGTGGAGCGTGACCGTCACTCCAACATACTTCTTACATTAGCTTCCATATATGTAAGTATCTCGTCGTAACAAGTGTAGTTGTGAGCCCTCCTAAACCCGTTGTTTCCGCTGCTTCCTCTAAGCAATATATAAGAATTCAGTTCGTACCTCATAGGAAACACATTACGTCTCCGCTACGAAGATCAAACGTTAATGCTGTTTATAAACAGTAGCAGTTTATTAACGCGTAGTTTTCGTGTCTTAAAGCAGGTCCGTCGCGTCAGTTTCGTGCATGGATGCTAATTCAAGGTCCTAGCAATTTTCACTAGCCTGAGTGTAAGCTGATCTAAATAAAGAACAGTGCAGTCTTATCGGTTATAACGCCGTGTAGTTCGGCAGAAGTTAACTGAGGTTTCGGAGGGAAGCATCGCTTCCATCATAACCGCCGAAGAGTAAGGAAATCAAGAAACGGACAAGAAAAGCGACGACGGCTTCCGGTTAAGTAAACCCTGAAAACCGCTCGTCCCCCCCCCCCGTCAAAG